ATAATTTGAGGAAGGGACAAGATTAGAAATGGACGCACAAAGCATTTTAAAAAAAAAATCAAGTCTCCTTGCACTCCACTTCATTCCCCCTTTCTTCCTGCCCAGGGCAGTCCTGCCTTCTGTCTGCCCCTCAGAGCCAGTGCATCACACAGGGCTAGGTTTCAGCAGCCGCAACCTCTCCTCCTCCTATGAGCTACGCGAGGGAGGAGACTAGCAATGGCGGCCATGGAGAGGCCATGGGATGCTCCCTCACCGCCACCGTTGTCACTCAGGGCAAGCACTGGCTCATCCTCTTCCCCGAGCTTGGAAGCAGCAGCAATGGCAGGGGAAATAGAGACATTTCAGGATCAAATCAGTAGCCAGGATGGCTTTCATAAATCCAGAACTGTCCCTGGAAAATTGGGACACTTGGAGGGTATGCACCAGTGATTCATTCAGAAATGTGTAAAGCCACAGGTTTCTGAAGTCTGAACACCCATGCATTTAAGATTGAATGTTGGTGGTATGATCTCTTTCTGATAGCCCCTGTAGCTACAGCCCCATGGAATGTCCATAGCCATACTCCAAAGGGTAGACAAAAAAGTAATGCAGCTGTATTGCTCCATGTATTTGTCTACACCCCCACCCACAAAGAGCAGCAGTAAGTAACACCATACCCAATTCATTTGTATAAGCGTGGCTGCAATCCTATGCATGGTTTACTTAGGCGTAAGTTCTATTGAACGCAGTGGTGCTTACTTCTGACTGCATAGGCTTGATGCGGGTTCACCTTGAGCTTTAACAACAGTTCTTCAGCCAGCTGAAATTCAACCTTCAGCTTTTAATTAGAAATGGAAGCAATCTTGCAAAGAAATGTTTGCAGGATGCTAGCAGCATGAAGTAGGAACCCCATCAGTTATTTATTTTTATTTATTACACTTATATTCCACCCATCCAGCCGAGTTATCTGGGCAGTTCACAAAAACAAATAAAGCCCCAAATGCAATTCACACTATTATTATGTATGAGAACTATCCTTGCCTGTCACTGGGCTTCACTGGGGAGAGCATTAGACTGATTGGGAGGGCACCACTGAAAAGCCCTGATAGATGGCACTCCTCATCACATGGACTATTTGGGCCACTTATGCTTCCAGTGACAATAATGATGAAGAAGGAGGAGAAAGGTCCTCGTATAGGGCCATCAAGGTGGTCTGGGTGCTATAACTGGGCACAAATTGAAGTAAATCCAGAAAATCAGTCTAATTAAAGAGTGCCTAGACTTGCTCAGTGATAGCCCACTCCAGAACCTTACCCAGTAAGAGTATGTTTGCAATCAGTCTGTTGAGTATGTAGATCTTCCATGTCCATTGATGGAGAATCTCCTCCCCTCCCACCTTATAACTGGGTCCACCGCTGAACCATACTTGCAATCAAGAAATGTATACTAACGTTCAACTGAAATCTTCTGTCCTGCAAATTAAGACCTAGTCCTGCTTTCTCGGGCAGAAGACAAGTCTTGCCCTCTTCAATGTAACAGCCCTTCAGGTATTTGAAAAGTGTTTTCATGTGTGTCTACCTTCTCCCACACGCCTGCTTCCCTTCTCTGGGTGCATCCATGCCTTACATTTAAAGCACATGGCTTCCCCCAAAGAATCCTGGGAAGTGTAGTTTACCCCTTAAAGAGCTACAATTCCTAGAACCCTTAACAAACCACAGTTCCCAGGATCGTTTTGAGGGAAAGTCATGTACTGTACTTTAAATCCCTGGTGTATATACAACATGCCCCGTTCCTTCAACCTTTCATCATTGGTCTTGTTTTCCATACCTTTGTTGCCCTTCCCAGAACTCCTTCTAGTCTGTCCTTCCTAAAGTGCGGCATCCAGATTTTGCAGTTTGGGGGAGGGGGCATTCTAATTTATTATTTTGAACCATCTTTGGAGACATACCAGCAACAACATAACGTCACCACTCAAGAAGTTCACAGGACCAATTTTATATCTGGTTCAAGTTGGCTTGCTTCCATCCATGATCTGCATGCTTTTTTCTGCTCATTTTCACCAGCTAAGGCAACAGGGTGGAGATGTTGGGGGGGGGGAGAGGTTAGCCCTTCAGGTAAATATTTGCCTGATTAAGACTTTTTCTTCTTCTTTCTTTCTTCTTTTTTTAAATAATGTGTAACCCAAGAGCAAAAGTTTCATGTGAGAAAATGGCACTTGGCAAACAGTGGTTCCCTGATATGCTCTAATTGCTTTTGGTAAACTGACAATAAGGTGCGGGGGGGGGGTGCTGGAAATGAAAGCAGATATGACAACATTTAATGCTGAAGAGCGGCTGCTGCTCTTTGAGCAGTTCATTTATTTGGCTTTTCCAAGAAGAGAGAGACGGAGACAGACAGAGGTGGGGGGACACACACAAAGAGAGAACGGGACTGGACTCCACAAAGGGTATGTTTTCAAGTGAACAATGTAGTGACGGGGGGGGGGCTGTATCAAATCTTGGCCCTACTCAGAGTAGACCCATTGCAATGAAAGGGCATGACTTTGATCTTTTAATATCAGTGAGTCTGCTCTGAGTAGGACTTAGTTTGATAAAGTCCAGGGACATTTTCCTTCCCTTCTCATCATATTAGATGGTATTGGAGTGCAATCTATTCACATTGAATAGGAAGTAAGCCTTATGTGCTCAGTGCAGCTTAGTCCCTTCCTAAACTTGTTTAGGAATGCAACGTTCATCTCCCAATGAAATCAATTGGTGGTAGTTTCCAAGATGGAATAGAGTCCTTCCTCGTACAACATGTCATTCACAAGATGTGGTGAGGGCTTCCATTACTTTTGGGGTGCAGGGCGGGGAGACACACGCAATCCTAATTCCATGCTCTCCCAAGTCCAGTCCCACTTTCTGTTCACACTTCTATCTCAGCGACGTCTGTGCTGGCTTGGCCACGGAATAGAAGATAGCAAGGATGTGCTTTACAGGGACCTGGCTTCAGGCACTAGGCCTGTTGGTAGACCAACTCTGTGTTACAAAGATGTCTGCAAACTGAGACAGATTTAGGGGAGCACTGCAGGGGCATTGCAAATATGATGTAGAATGGAAGGCAAGAAGATAGGAGCCCCAAATGTTGGCATCACAGGGCACTGCTGAAATTTGAGAACCCACACGTGACATGAAGGCTGGCAACATCAACCCCACTGTGTGGGAATCCCTTGCAGATGACTCCAGCGCCTGAAGACAATCAGGTTGTGTATCCACAGCAGTGACCAGAGGAATGACCACTGGGAGAAGCAATGAAAAAAGAAACACCATGGTGCCCCTGTAGCAGGAAATCCGGATGCCTGCACCTGCCCCAGCTGCAATAAAACATGTCCCATGGAACCCTTTGAGCTCCAGCCTCACCCATGATGCCTTCATGGTGCCCATGAAACTTCTGAGCACCCTCCCTGCCTGCTTGGTCATGAGATGGTGAGGGTAGTTGCTTGAGAAGGACATAGAGCTGAAGGAGGAAGTTGGAAGGGGTGCACTGTCTCCCACTTCCTTAGCTCTACATGCTTTACACTAGAACTGATTTTCACCTAGACTTCTTGGGAAAGTAGAGAATGCGTGCACATGTGTTTCTGTTTCTTGGCGGTGGGGGGGGGGGCAGAAATGGCCAAAGGGGGCAGCACCCATAGCCCTTGCTCAAAAATAAAAATTTGCCCATGAACCTGAAGAAGTGGGGGCTTCTGGTACAATAAAGCAGGGCCTTTGTAGCTATGGCCCCAACGCTGTGGAACGTCCTCCATCTGGAAGCAAGGGGTTATACCTTTTTGCTTGTATTCCAGAAAGACCTACCTACCTTCCTTCCTTCCTTCCTTCCTTCCTTCCTTCCTTCCTTCCTTCCTTCCTACCTTCCTTCCTTCCTTCCTTCCCCCCTGCCCCGCTCTAAAAGAAGGGTCATAACTTGGTGGCAGAACATGTATTTTGCACATAAAATGTGCTGGCGTGTCATCTCAGGTTTTGTTCCAAACATCTTCAAGTGGGGCTGTGAAGGTTGGATAAGCCCTAAGTTGTGGACCACTTGCTCATGGCTGCAAGTGGGACAGCCGTGGCTTGGGGTTGCATATTTTGTTGTGTGGCAATATCAGGACACATTGCATTCCTGCCCATACCCCAGAACCTTGCAGGGATCAAAATCCCTGCCTTGCCTAGCCAGGGACCCCCACTTGGGCCAATCTACTTATTTTAAGTAGCAGCATGAGCAGAGGCTGCCTGGCCAAAAGGGATTGAAGCATCCTATCTGTTGTCCACTTACAGGCTCTATAAACCCTTTCTCTACAGCTCCTAGGCAGCATGGAGGAACATGCTGGCAGCCATAAGAAGGTGTTTCCAGGGTTGATAGTCACCCTGAAATGATATGCTGTTCCTATCAGACACTATTGGTCTTCCTTTCACAATTATTACCATAGAACTGTAAATTTTCAGCAAGAAAAGCCTATTCACTTGTGGTACAGGAGGTCAGCCTTTATGTCAGCAAAGACCCACAGGTAATAAATTAGAACCACTTACCAAGAAAAGAAAGGTACGGTACTGAGCTATACCAAGATGGTTTTATGTATAATAGTATGCCGCTCCTGTGATTTTATGAGATGGCGGTGTTTAAATACTTTTATAAACATTTCAAATGCTTTTATTAAATAAATGAATGTGTTCAAATCCAAAACTACAAAAAGACAGGACAGTTGTTACTAAACTCTTACGTTAACTCAGAATAAAGATGCAAGATGTGTGTGCACTTAAGTCCAACAGAGCATCAATACGTATATGTATACATCATAAATAATAACATGGAATTATAATTCTAAATATTAAAGAGCAAGGTGGCCAGCAATGGGTTTTCATATATTACAGGAAACCCAGACATAAATTTAGACCCCACCTGGTGTTATTATTATTATTATTTTACTTTTCAGTTTTATGAAATCTGTCAAAAGTCTATGGAAGGAACACAAGGTTGGTCACCTTGGTTTTGTGTTGAAAATGGTCACAGGCAGAGGGAGGAGGGGAGATGGATTGGAAAGGAGAGCAATTGCTCTTAGGCAGGAGGAGAACAACAACAACAACAACAACAACAACAACAACCAATCTTGCCAGTGTATTGTTATCCAGTCCGGGTTTTGCAGGCGCCCCTCCTCAGCTGGAGTTCCTTGCGAGTCCGTTCCATGCCTTTTTCCTCCTCTCTATTTTTTCTTCCCATTTTTTTCTTCCGAAGTCCCCCTTTCTCCCTCGCTTTCAACCCGCGGAGAGCTCGCGTGGGGCGGGGGTGGGGGGTCAGATGGTGCCCGGATTCCAGTCCGGGTTTTGCGCGCCGCCTGCACCCCCGGTAGAAATAGGAAAATTCAATAATCAAAGCAAAAGGGAAGCGAGCGAGAGGAGGGGGAAAAAAATCCCGGATCAGGGCAACTTTGATGGCGCATGCGCGCTGTAAGCCTCCATCCCAAACACACACATTTCCCTGTACTTGGAAAGTCACCCAAAGCAGCCCCAAGTGCAGGTAAGACCTTCTGCTCTCCCCTCCTTGCCCCCCCTGCGCCCGGCCCCAGACCCTTCCTCCCTGGGGGGCTCCCCAGACTCCTCGCCTGTGCACTTTTCCGCGCCTCGTCCCGGCTGGCGGCGGCCGCTTTCGCCCCAGCAACTCTCTCCGCGCCTCGCTCTCCCCAGTGCGCGCTGGGCTGGGGCAGAGAGGGCGAGCGGCGGCGGCATTGCTTGGAGGGCGACGCAGGCGGCTGCAGTCACTGGGGAAGGTGGCTGTCGCTGCCCTGGCCAGGGAGGGGGCGTGAGAAGAAGGGGCTTTGCACCGGCCGAGAGAGGGGGCACTTGTAAAAAGTGTGTGTGTCGGGGAGGGGGGTCGCGTTACATTGCACTGCACAGGACTGTGTAGGTCATTGCGCGCGGAAACGGCGCGGGGGTTTGCAATGCGCCTGGAAACGGGATGGAGGGGCCAGGGCTTCGCGCGCTGGTTTTTCTCCTTTGGGTGGGGGCGACTGGAGAGAGAGAGAGAGTTTGCTGCTGCGACCCCCTCTCTCACACTCCTCTTTCTGCCTTTCTTCGTGGGGCACTTTGAGAGGAATGGATGCAGGTGGTTCGCTTTCTTTTTCCTTCTTGTCCAGAGTTAGGGGCGGGAGGAGAGGGGCGGACAGGCAGGCAAGATTCTCGCAATTCCCAGGACTTTCTCAAACAAGGTGGGTGGGAGACGTCCGCGCGTTTGACGACTCGTCTTTCCTTTCCTCCCCCTCCCCAATCTCCCAAGAAGCTGAAGGTGCCCCCTTCCCTTACACAGGGGAGGGGGCATAGAAGAATATCCCCTTGGGTCACTACAGTTGCAGGTGGTGCCTAACCATTTTTCGAAGACTTTAAAAATAGTTCCTGGGGAGGGGGTGGAGGAAAGGGAAAGAAAGGGCAGGAGGGGGAGGGAGGCAGAGGATGAGGGGGCGGGATCTCCCCCACCCCCCCTCCCCAAATTTTGCTCTCAGGTGTCCGCGTTTTGAAGACAGTTTCGGGAAAACATTTCTCCCCCTTCCCACTTCTTTTTTTTTTTAAAAAAAAAAGCTGAGTGCAGGTTGTCCCGGGGGTGGGGAGGAGGAAAGGGTTAGGGTCCTTAAAAGACTGAGAATACAGGGACGTTTTTTGTCTGGGTTGGTTCTTGGGATTGGAGTCGGAGCTGCTTCTGCTTCTGTCGGTGCGCAAAGTTTTCCCAAAGTGCTTTGGAGCGGAGACCCCGGGTGCGCGATGACTTTTGAAGAGATGGGCGGAGGGTCCGGAGCGCACGGTGGCCGCACAAGGGGGCGACAAGAGAGAAAGGGGGGGGGGAGAGAGGCGCGATGCTCAGTATTTGCGTCGCCCTGCGCTTCCGGGGTGGGGGGTCTCTCCCTATTCTCCCTAGCTTCCCTTTCCCAACCCAAGTTATTTGAGCGTCCATAAGAGTGCGCTTTTGGGGCGATCCGGGGTACTTTGTGTCTGCCCCCTCGTTTACAGCAGCAGGTTATTTTTACCCCGTGGTATTTGCAGAACGAGCAGCTGATTTGCCCCCCGCCCCGTCCTTTTCACGCACACTCTCTCTCATTCGTATTTTTATCTCCTGCGCTTTGGAGAAGTTGGGTCTGCTGGGGGCGCGCAAGGGGTAAGGGATATTTCATATACAGAGGCTGTTTGTTTTTTGGAGGGGGGAGGCCGGCAGGCGAGCGGTTGTTTGGCGTATTGTTTGTGTTGGCGGTGGGGGGGCGGGGGTTTGGCTCGGCCTAGGGGTGGAGTTGCGAAGGGCGGGGCGCCCTGGAAGGAGTGGGGTTTTGGTGAACGCTCCTCTCCATGTTTGGGCGCTCCCGGGACGAGGGAACAGGTGTCGAGCTGTCAGTCAAAGTTCGGGCCTGCCGGGAACGGGGGCGGGTGCGGTGGGGACAACAGCAAGATAGCGGTTAAAAATAAGGGAAAGTAGAGGGTTTGGGGCGTTCGCAGAAATTAAGAGAAGGGGGTGAAAGCGTTGGACGCAGAGCGGGGCACATTAGGCGTGAATTCTGGAGAGGGAATGAAATGATTGCATACTCCCCCCCTCTCTCAAATCTGCCTCTCCAGATGTATGGTCGGATCCTAAGCTTCTGGGGTGGGGGAAAGAGTCATTTTATGCAATAAAGAGAATCTTAATTTAGTCTTATTTGTTTTCTTGGGGAAGGGAATAACATGTTAACCCCACCGCTACTCCCATTAGATTCTGTTGCATACAAAAATGTATTGGAACTGGGCAGGTAGTGGGGAGAGGTTGGCATAGGGTTGGGGGTGGTTGTGTGCCCTGGGGAGAATTTAGCCATGGTTGAAAAATCTGTATTCAGTTGGGGGGGTGTATGGGACTAGACAGCTTCTGTGTGCTGTCCACAGTTTTAGGTTATATGCGTGCATTTGTCTTGTGTCAGTTGTCCAAATAAATATTTTCTCTGCGTTTTATTTCTTTTGCTGGGAGAGAAAGGTGGCTCAGTGGCTGGCAAGGATGGAAAGGCAAAGCTGGGGTAAGGGCCTGTGGGTGGGTGGGGGTGTCTTCTGGGAGGGTGGGTGCCACCTCCAGGGTTTCTTTCTGGGATTTGCTACTTGAGAAAACTTTGGGGGAACAGGGTGTGTCGTGGAGGTTTGATGTGAATAGATGTGGTTTAAATCTATCTGGCTTTTGTGGGAGGGGAGGGAAACTTTGAGAACTTGATTAATAAACTCCATGTGTTCTTTCCTTTCAACATGCTTCCCTTCTCCTGCCTCCCCCCGCCCCCCAACAGCTCCTTCCTCAAGGCCGTATGTAACTACATTAGGGATCACCTTAATCCTTCCCGTTGGAATACATTCACTCTGGCCTTCCTATTTCTCTCCCTAAGTCTTTCCTATAAGCCATCTTCGTGTGCGTAGGGGAAATAACTTCTTAGTTTTACTTGATTGTCACCTTTTAAAAATCAATTTTTCCACCGGCTAGGAAGACTTTATGTGGTGCTGGTGAAGAAGTAGAATATTAGTGAACTTAGTAATCAAGTTTCCAGATCTTCTGCCTCCTGTTTAATTTATTAGACTACTTATTTATTCTGTTGATAATAATCTGTTGCAGGTTTCTATGGAGATGTTAAACTGATCTCTTCAAGAAATCAAACTCCATATGTGCTAAAGTGTTTAAAGAAGTAGCATGGGCTCTTTTTCTTCTGCTACTCTTTTTGTTTGTTTGTTTTCTTCTCAAACTCTACATTATTTGGTTGTTCAACTTATGTTTTCCATATTGATGTGTTCAGAAAGGGACAGAACTGGGGTGGGAGTAAGCAGGAAAGTTAAAGGGTATTGATCATCAAGAGTCTGCCGTTTTTGTGAATGGGACTCTGATCTTGAAAGATTCTGTCTAAAAACCATAATAGAAAGAGCAGATTAAATGATAAGGCCCCTTCTTTTAAATATGCTTGCCTGTGGTCAGACAGACCAGTAATTGATGCAAATAAAATCTTGCTTGCTGCTGCTGCAGTTGTGAAGAGGTCCTTCCACTTCTCCTTCACTTTATAATAAGTCCAAAATCAAATATAAAGATTTTTTGGGGTAAAGTGGATGTTCAGGGTATTATTGTTTTATCATTTATTTTTTAAGTGCAGGAGGTCAGAATCGGGAAGAGTTAATGCATTAGAGGTTTTTTTAATCTTTTGTTTCAGCTTAATGGGAGTGAGCTGAGGGGAGGGGGGGGAGAATAATACATAAAAACCTTTTCTCTTTAGAGCAGTTCTCAAGGAGATGCTGCAGACTTCTAAGTTCCAAATTGCCCAAGGAAACTTTTTTCTTTTATGTTAAAGTGTCATTTTGTGATGGGTGTCATGTGTTTTGGAAGCTGTCTTATTCGAGACCCGTTTAAAGATGGTGGAGACTTATTTTGGGGTTCCCGGGCACCTAGCAGGTGCCAACCTGGTGGCACTGCCTTCTGTCAGACGGGCAAAGTGGTAGGTTTAAAAATATGCCTGCCGTGCATCTTCTTCCGTCCAAGCTTCATTTTGCCTTGTTATCCAGTGCTATTCTCTTTTCAACCTTTTTTGTTTCTTAAAACAGTATCTTCTCCCCCCCCCCGCACTCTCCAGTTTACTTTCCCCCTTTTTCTTTTAAACACACAGATACACGTGCATTCAACCTGCTCCAGCCAAAACAGCACTAAACAGACTTAAAAACAAGACTAACGTAAGCCTAACTTGTCTGATGAAATCCACATCCTTGATTGCTTTTCATCTTATTAATTCTCTTGTGTGTTTATGTTTTTGTCCCTGCTGTTTCAGTGGAATTTGATCACCATCCTTTTCCTTCCATGCCTGCCTTGTATCTCTCTCTCTCTCTTTGGTAAATCTTTTGGGTAGCTGCTTCTCCCACCCCTTTTTCTTTATTCTTTTTAAAAAATTTGAATTGCAAACTGGACCGACAAAAGTGGAAAAAACCCACACACACACACTCACACACACGCTACTCAGAAAAAAAAGAAACACTGTGGCTTTAAACCCGGGAGTTTGCATATTCCCCTTGTATCTTTCCCCTTTGCTAATTATTGTGTTGTTTTCAGAGCAAATATGTCATATCCATGGCGACCGGGCAGGTTTATTGTCTTTCAGAAGCAATAGCTCACATAAGTAATTAATGACTTTTTTTTTCCCTCTGGCTTAGGTTAAACAGATCATTCAAGGAAAGTCATCTCTCCCCCCTTTCTTTCTCTCCCCCCCCCCACCTCTCTCTCTCTCTCTCTCTCTCTCTCTCTCTCTCTCTCTGTCTTTTTTAGCTCAGTGACATAAGAACATGAGTTAGAACAAGAAAATACTTTAACCAAGAAGTCAGTGGCTGACTTCTCTCTCTCCCCCCACACCAACATTTCTTTTAAAAGCTGGTCGTGTCAGTTTTCCTACAACTGACATTGTCATTTTTTACAGGAGAAAATCCTGATTCTATGGGGAGGAGGGACAGAGGATTTAAGATGCATAGTGGCTTGTTGCTCCTGCAATAGGGAAAGAGGTGGCA